AACACAAAAAAACAGTTGCTGCCTTAAATGAAGTCAAGTCATTTTAAACTTAAATTTTATAAAAATGACTTTAGAAATCAAGTTAAATCCCATATAACTTCAAAAAGGAAGTTGAAATTGGTTCAGCTGTTTTGATTAAGTTGAAGTAATGGGAACACATATGTTGACATGACTTTATTGATCATATATTTTTACAGTGAATCTTTTGTAACATTTTAGACATTTTTACTGTCTTTTTTGACCAATTTAATGCATCTTTTTAAAATATTTAATTTCCTAAAAAATAATTTCTCATCTTTGATCATTGTATTATATGTGTGTAAAATGTATCATTGTGATCCAGCAACAAGATATTTGTTATTCACACTGTATGTGAAAATGCTGCATGATGTTTAATACAGCTATGTGGCGCTAGATTTTGGACCATTGAGGTTTCACTTTGGGCAGGACTCCTGAGTGCAACCAAATAGATACCAAGCGACCTACCAAATGTTGTTTTCTCAGAGCAGCAACTGTCAAAAACGCTGATTAACATCACATCACTCTTGGTTATCACAGTGTCACGGTGTTATGCTTCATGTCAAGAAGGCTTTGTTTGTAGCAGTTCCTGTTAGTTGACATCTAGAGATAATTAAAAACAGACATCATTAAATATCCCACGGAGCTTATGGAATTAACATAAAAACCACCCAAGAGAGCATAGCTGATCATCAGAGAGTCTCAAAGCATTTGATCGTGTGACACTGAGTCACATTACCTGCCGGTTTAATCATGTCATACCGTTCCCCTCTCACAAGTACGCTCACAGGTATTGATGGACCTCTTGAAAAGCCCCATCTTAGCTGCAGTGCAAGGCTGCTGTCTTAATGAATTGGGCTGTTTTCATCTGCTCATTGAGTGTTTGATGTGTAAGGGCTTCCGTCTGTGTGGTTAACTTTGGTTGCCACGGTAATCAGGCCCTTTGTTGGGCTGTTTTGTTTGCTTGTCTCAGGTTTGATTGAGATCATTAGCAGTGAGGGGAGGACAGTCAAACTCTTCAGAGTTTACATCTGTAGCTGTATACAGTGTGACGCACCACTCCTTTGCTATTTATACGCGCACACACATCGATACAACACTGCTCCCGTCACAGCATTTTTGTTGAAGTGTAATTAGTGGTGCTTGCAAGCATCATTATTACTATTGCTCATACTTAAGGTGAGGGATTTAAACAAAACCCTAAGCCAAAGTAGTAAACCTGAACTATTCCTGTGGAGTTTGCACTAGGTACATGATTGATACCTCAGTCGTGCAGCTTGTTGTGTGATGTTACTTTGCTTAAAACAGACAAACAAATCACAATGGCTTGCAATGAAATAGTGACAGGAGTTAAAACACCCTTGCAACTAACCACAAGACCTTTCATCATGGTGGTGACTTTTGAATGGCCAGCTACCACATTTTCCTCAGAAAATGTAAAATATTTTGTATTTGTCATTAATTTAAATTGTGCACTTCAAGTCTTGGAAACAGTATTTTTATTTTTTATTTTTTGAAAGAAGTCAAAATATTAATCAAATTATTAGTCAAATTATTACAATTTAAAATATATATTTTCTGTCTGAATATGTAATTTATTACTGTGATGGCAAAGCTGAATTTTTAAGCAACCGTTATTCCAGTCTTCAGTGTCACATGATCCTTCAGAAACCGTTCTGATATGATGTTTTTAGGTTCAAGAAATCTTTCTCAGTATTATCAGTGTTTTTTTTTTTTTATTATCAAAGCAGTTGTGTTACTTAATATTTTAATGGAAACCATGATACATTTTTTCAGTATTGTTTGATGAATAAAAAGTTCTAAAGAAAAGCATTATTTCAAACTAGAAATGTTGTAACAATGTAAAAGTGTTACATAAGTTACTTTTATTTATTTATTTAAAAAATACTTGGCCCCCCCCCCCCCATTTTGTTTGAGTGGCCCAACAAGGCAGCATTGATTTGACTAGTGGTATGAGCTGATGGTGGAACTACCAGACAGGGAGTGGTTTTTGGAAAGACTGTTCAGATACAATTATTATTTTTGCTGTTTTATTACTGGTGCTGCTGGTATAGTGCCAAAGAAATTACACACTTTGGCTGGTGGCAGAATTGGCAAGCTTGTCCTTTGGCCAAGTGTCACTGAAAAGTTTAATATATAATAATAGTAATAGTCATCATCCATGATCCTCATCATCCATAAGCTTTTTACTCTTGACCATTGATTTTCTGTTTTCATTGATGTCCTCTGTTCTGGTCTAAATTACTTCAAAATAGCTTATATATTAGAAGGTGATGTAAAGCTGACAGTTTTTTTTTTTGTTTTTTTGGCAAATAAGGGAAGAGATGCCTAACCAGCTTGGATATATATATATATATATACAGTGGTGACCAAAATTACTAGAACACTAGTATTTTCACCAGCTAAAAAATGGTTTTAAGTCAGTTATTTCTATGTTTTGCTATAGTGTGTCAGTAGGAAATATCAGTTTGCAAAGCTATCTGAAAAACTCTGCACAAGTGCACTGAGGGCAAAGGCTGCTTTAAACGCTAAGGATGGTCACACCAAATGTTGATTTAATTTAGTTAATAGAATTTAACTGATAAAGAAAATCTATTTATGAAATTATTTTTGACAGCATCTTCATTTTACAGCATTTTTACACAAGTGCCTAAAACTTTTAACAGCACTGTAGCTTTGCAGGTAGGTTTCTTGAAGC